AGGTCATGAGACGAAGAATCCTATTGATTTTCAACGATATCCGATTATTATTGCCAGAGTTATGACCCTTGATCACTTCGAAATATCTTGTGACGCTCTAGAGGCTTATATGTTATCAACCGATTGACTTCAGATTGATACACAGAGTTTAAGGTCTTGAGACGAACAAGTATATTGATTTTCAATAAATTTGGATAACTTGAACAGCTAAATCCATGATATTAAATGTTTCGTATGCTAAACGTTAGCATGGGGAAAAACTTTATAAAAACCAAACAAATTCTAATGATTTTCTAATTATTACTGAATGAGTTGTTTCTCTTAGTGTATTATAAATGTTTCATTACTGAAAAAAGTAAAAAATGCGACAACTCTTCTTGACTGCCCGGATGATTTACCTGCTATGGGCGTATGTTTCGTTGCCTGGCAACCTATCTTAGATTTTAATTGGAATCAGATTTTAAGTGAAGATACTAATTTGAATATTTTAATGAAAAAACGTTTTCAGAGAAACTACTTGAAATCATTTCAAACCGTTAGTATACGACTTAGCGATAATCCATGGATGAATTGTCATATACGTCATATTATACACAAGAGAAACAGAATCCACTGCAAAGCCAAAAAACGTAATTTACTTTCTAAATCGGCAAACTTTAGAAAAACAGAAACTATGTAATACAAGACGTTCGAAAGGCAAAAAGGTCTTATTAAGAAAAGATCGAATCAAATATTAATAGAGACACCTTTAATGATTCTGACTGGGGGAACCTGTATGCATTTTTATACGCCCACATTTTCATGTGGATGTACATTGTCATCGCCCCTGTCCGTCTGTCCACAATTCGTTTGTGGACACTCCACAGGTCACAATATTTATTCGATTTTGACGAAACTTAAAATATAGGTCTATCTCCCAAAAATCTCGGTTCCTTTCGATACTGGCTTATATTGGACCATAACTTCATGGATTATGGCCCCTGATTGTATGAAAAATCATGTTATTAGCTTGTGGACACTCTAGAGGTCATAATTTTCACCTGATTTGGATGAAACTTGAAATGCATGTTTATAACCCAAAGATCTTGGATCCTTTCGATATTTGCACATATCAGATGGTAACTTCCTGAATTATTGCCCCTGATTGTACGAAAAAATCCCGTTTTTAGCTTGTGGTCCCTCTAGACGTCACAATTATTACCCGATTTAAAAAAAACGTTTGAATATATCACCGTTACACACTAATGAAGCTTTAGTTCGAATTTCGTGAAAATCGGACCAAAACTGCCGGACAAAATGACCACCCCTCATACCCAAATATTGTAAATATATGGTATATCAAGGTTTTGGATCCTCTAGAGGCCACAATTTTGATTCAATTTTGATGGAACTTGAAATACATGTTTATAACCCAAAGATCTTGGTTCCTGTCAATATTCGCGCATATGGAGGCAGACCCCCATTAATTTCCCATTGACTTCAATGATAATTCTGGCCACTTTGCCCACCTCCAACTTTTCCCCAAATTTTTGTTGGGCTGAATGCTTTTCACTACAGACAGAGGAATAAATGGTCATGTCTTTGCACTAAAATTTGTATGAGGTTGACCACCAAAGCATACTAAAAACATCTAACTAGTTGCCGTACCTGATAACACTGTTATCCTTCTGCCTCAAAATCATGAATATTTACCAAAACCTGGCAGAAAATGTTAATTCAAACCCACTTCGTCCCTTCTAGACCAAAAAATCAACAAAAATGGGCATTGCAAGACGGAAAAAAGGGGAGAAAAAAGACAGAGAGAATTGCTATAAATAGATGAACTACAATTTGTGGGTACCGAGATGGTGAAATTTAATGGTGGTCTGCCTTCTATATCAGATCGTAACTTCCAGAATTATGGCCCTTTAATGTACGAAAAATCGCTTTTTGTTATACGCCCACATAGGAATGTAGACGTATATAGCCTTATACGCCCACATAGGAATGTGGATGTATATTGCCGTCGCCCCCGTCCGTCCGTCTGTCCATCTGTCCATCGTCCACAGTTTCTTGTGAATGCTCTAACCCCAAAAGTTATCATCCTATTATTCTGAAATTTATATGCATTATTTAAATTAGTGAAATGAAGAAGCCTATTTAATTTCAATAATTTCCGTTTATTACATCTAGAGTTATGGCCCTTGTTTCACTTTATTGAACCTTGTGAATGCTCTAATGCCAAAAGTTAACATCCGATCTTTGTGAAATTTACATGCAATATTTAAATTAGGGAAACAAAAAAGCCTATTAAATTTCAGCAATTTCCGTTTATTACTTCTAGAGTTATGGCCCTTGTTTAAGTTTGTTTAACCTTTTGAATACTCTAACCCCAAAAGTTATCATCCTATCTTTCTGAAATTTATATGCATTGTTTAAGTTAATGAAATTAAGAAGCCTATTGAATTTCAGCAATTTCCGTTTATTACTTCTAGAGTTATGGCCCTTTTTATAAGCCCACATGGAAATGTGGACGTTTATTGCCATCGCCCCCGCCCGTCCGTCCGTCGGTCCGTCCGTCGGTCCGTCGTCCACAATTTCTTGTGAACACTCTACAGACTACATTTATCATCTGATTGTTTTGAAATTGATATATGTTGTTTGCATTAGTGTGATGAAAAAGCCTATTTAATTTCAATAACTTCTGTTAATTTATTCTGGAGTTATGGCCCTTGTTTCACTTTGTTGCACCTTGTGAACGCTCTAACAACAAAAGTTATCAACCGATCTGTATGAAATTTATATGCATCATTTAAATTAGTAAAACAAAGAAGCCTATTGAATTTCAGCAATTTCCGTTAATTACATCTAGAGTTATGGCCCTTGTTTCACTTTGTTGAATCTTGTGAACGCTCTAATGACAACTGTTATCATCCGATCTGTTTGAAATTGATATGCATCATTTAAATTAGTGAAACGAAGAAGCCTGTTGAATTTCAGCAATTAATTACGCCGTGAGTTATGGCCCTTGTTTCACTTTGTTGTACCTTGTGAATGCTCTAATGACAAAAGTTATTATTCGATCTGTATGAAATTGATATGCATCATTTAAATTAGTGAAACGAAGAAGCCTGTTAAATTTCAGCCATTTCCGATAATTACTGCCAGAGTTATTGCCCTTGTTTCACTTTGTTGTACCTTGTGAATGCTCTAACAACAAAAGTTATTATTCGATCCGTATGCAATTTATATGCATCATTTGAATTAGTAAAACAAAGAAGCCTATTGAATTTCAGCAATTTCCGTTAATTACATCTAGAGTTATGGCCCTTGTTTCACTTTGTTGAATCTTGTGAACGCTCTCGTGACAACAGTTACCATCCGATCTATTTGAAATTGATATACATCATTTAAATTAGTGAAACGAAAAAGCCTATTGAATTTCAGCAATTTCCGTTCATTACGCCGTGAGTTATGGCCCTTGTTTCACTTTGTTGTATCTTATTATCCAATCTGTATGAAATTTATATGTATCGTTTGAATTAGTAAAACGAACAAGCCTATTGAGTTTCAGCAAATTTCCATTAATTACATCTAGAGATATGGCCCTTGTTTAACTTTGTTGAATCTTGTGAATGCTTAACGACAAAAGTTATCACCTAATCTGTATGAAATTCATATGCATCATTTAAATTAGTGAAATGAAGAAGCCTATTGAATGTCAGCAATTTCCGTTAATTCTTTCTAGAGTTATGGCCCTTATTTTACTTTGTTGAACCTTGTGAACGTTCGAACTACAAAAGTTATCATCCGATCTGTATGAAATTTATATGCATTATTTGAATTAGTAAAACAAAAAAGCCTGTTCAATTTCAACAATTTCAGTAGATTACTTCCAGAGTTACAGCCCTTGTTTTAGTTTTTAGAACGTTGTGAACCCTCAACCGACGAAAATTATAATGTCATCTGTATGAAATTGTCTATTAAATTCCCGTAATTACCTACAAAAGAATAAATAAATGTCGACTGCTTGGATGATTTAGCTGCTGTGGGCGTATGTTTTGTTGTCTGGCAACCTATCTTTCACTTTGTTTAACCTTGTGAACGCTCTATTGCCAAAAGTTATCATCCAATCTTTCTGAAATTGATATGCATTATTTAAATTAGTGAAACAAAGAAGTTTATTGAATTTCAGCAATTTCTGTTTATTACGTCTAGAGTTATGGCCCTTGTTTCACTTTATTGAACTTTGTGAACGCTCTAACATTAAAAGTTATCTGTATGAAATTTACATGCGTCATTTAAATTAGTAAGGAGAAGAATCCTATTGAATTTCAGGAATTTCCGTTTATTACTTCTAGAGTTATTGCCCTTGTTTCACTTTGTTCAACCTTGTTAATGCACAATTGATGAAAGTTATTATCCAATATGTATGAAATTTATATGCAACAATTTCTATAGATTACTTCCAGAGTTGAGGCCCTTGTTTCAATTTGTAGAACCTTGTGAGCCCTCAACGGCAAAAATTATAATCTGATCTGTATGGAACTGTCTTGTAAAGGCCCCCAATTACCTACAAAGGAATAAATATGCAACAACCCTTGTCGACTGCTTGGACAATTTACCTCCTGTGGGCGTATGTTTCATTGCCTGGCAACCTATTTTTTAGCTTGTTCTCTATCCATCTCTTGCAAAATGTGGGTATATCCTGCCTGGCAGCCGCTAGTTTATATCAAAATTATGATCCATTTTGGCGGAAAAACAATTGAAAGCCAGAATGAGCAATGATACTTCCTTATCAGGTTTGGTAAACGTCTAAGATTTACTTTCGGATAAATTGCTGTTAAAAGATACATGCTGTTTGTGTTACTATCTTTTTAGTAGATTTCCACATAATCAATGTGAATTAAGATATTGAAATTATTTGTATATATATATTTTCTTTAGAGATGTTTTCTTTTGTAACTTTCTTGATTATGTCAACTTTCAACTTACTGTTTTAATTTTGTATTATATTATAGGGTGAAAAATATGATGGACGTAAAGCAGATGTATGGAGCTGTGGGGTGATATTATATGCACTACTTGTGGTAATTATCATTTTTAAATTTCAGCAATACATTTCATGTGATTCTATAGTAGCAAAGCTATGCCAACACTGCAATTTCTACAAAATCTTTTGGCAAACTAATCAAAATAGTTAATACTACTGAAATGTATAGTTTATTGTCCGCTGCTATCAAAAAATGCAGGGGACTATTAAAATGGGTCTGTCTGTCTGTCAAACTTTATGGGACACAATAACTTTGCTTCTAATTGAGCTAGAATGTTCAAACTTGGTGTAGGTGTTTATTAGGTAAATACTTTGATGGAGTTCCAAGATGAGCATTTTCTGCTTAGGGTTGTAATAGTAATGTATAACCCCGTCCTTCACCTTGCCATGTCTGTAACCTTGACATTAATAAAGTAGTCTTGAACATGCAACATCTGTCATATCACATGGTGGCTAGAGGCAGGATATGAAAATCCAAAAATTTAGCCAGTGGCAGCCTTCAAACGTCTATTATAAGACTGGTCAGCAATAACATTCACACCAAAGAACATAAAGCAGACAGGAATGCAGAGACGTTATAAATTAATCCAACGAAAATCATCAAAATTTGTCACAGGTCTCGTTTAGACAATTTAATGTCAATGCGCATGTCCGGAACAGTCATTGATATAAACATCCGTTTCGGCAAAACCTTCAACAACTTTTCACATGAAAATACGCAAATGGCCCAACACAGAGCCCCACCACCCATGATATTCAGTGGGAAAGGTGACAAAACGGAAACATATACCCTATGGAAGCAACGAATGAACATTTACTCGTCAACAACCGGGAAAACGGGTGAAAAATTAGTTCCATACATTCTCGAAGCACTCAATGACGACGGTCTCAAAATTTTTAACGCATTCGACCTGACACAAGATGAGCGCAAGAGTCCCGATATTATATTTCAAAAATTTGAGGAACGGCTGAAGATTTCAAAACCGAATTTTCGTGCTGCTAGGCTTGACTTACACTTTTACTACCAACGAAAAGATGAAACGTTGGACGAATTTTACACTAGGTGCAAGGAGAAAACTGCACAATGCGAGGTCAACCCAGATGAGGAGAAGGAACGTATTTTAGAACAAATTTTGGCGAGCACCCCAATCCCTGATTTTCAAAAATGGCTTCTTTCACAATAGATGCTATTCTTGAAACGGGTCGTCAGTATGAGACAACACTTCACAACATTCAACACATCAAGGATCGATCAACAACCCAGGTTACCCTCAACGCTATCAACAAAGCCAACAGACCCTACAAGTCAAGGTGTAAGTGCTGTGGCCTAGATCACCCTCTTGACAAATCATCATGCCCTGCCAGGAATGATGAGTGTCACACCTGTCATACTGTTGGACATTGGGCAAATTATTGCTTACGCTATAAACAAACAACAGGAAATCGTAATTCCCGATCACAACAACGTCAACATAGTCCACACAGAGGTAAACGATATTCTTCCAGCAATCGGCGACAACAGTCACGTAATGCACGGCGACACAGCAGCCGCAACAGGAACAACTATGGTCAATACCACAGATGCATCCCAACACCACAACGACATATTAACAATGTAGATTACCAGTACCAAGAGGACAACGACTTTGACAACATTGTTTATGACACAGTCACAATAAAAGTCTCTGGGATACAACATAACACAGCACGTTACCCCCAATCCAGAGAAACAGCTTTTGCTCCTGTAGAACTAAAGCTCCCACAACTACAAAGCCACAACCAAGATGGTACCCCGATCAGAAGGAGTGTTAACTTCAAGGCAGATACTGGTGCTATGGGTGATATTCTTCCTTTACATATATTCAGACAGGTCATGCCCGATCATCTAAATACTGATGGTTTTCCCGATAGCAACAAAGTAAAGCCAACAAACAACATTCGCTTAGTAGCATATAACGGATCAGAAATAAAATGTTTCGGTAGCATTGATATACCCTGCAGATATCAGGACAACAATTGGTATAATGCAACATTCTACATTGATCTATCAATGGTCAGAGGATTACCAACACATATTTGATCATCTCAAAACGCTTATCTCCATTGATGTATCCCTTAAATACTACGACAAATCAGCCCCAACATTCCTGATGGTAGGCGCTAGTCAACGAGGCTTAGGTGCAGCTTTATTACAGCCAGATAAACTGTCTGATGGCAGCTACTCAACACACCACAGACCTGTAGCTTTTGCCAGTAAAGCCCTCTCTAGTGCTCAGACCCTTAGAGGTTATATGCAACAAATCTATCAACGCAGTCCCACCTCGTCTTCAAGCTATGATGTTAGCAATACAGGGATATGACTACACAGTCAAATATGTGGCCGGAAATGAAATTGGTCTTGCTGATGCTTTAAGTCGTCTTCCGAACACCAGCGACACAGCAGATATACCATTGGACATCAGAGTAGAATTCTTCAAGTTCACTGAAGACAAGTTTCTGACATTAAAACAGCTACCCAAGCTGACCCAGTTCTATGCATCCTGCAGGAGATTATACACAATGGGTGGCCAGAAACACAACGAGAACTCCCAACTGATATACGTTCTCACTGGTCCTATAGAGATGAACTCAGCATCGAAAATGGTATTATACTAAAGGGAGAAAGAATATACATACCCCCACCTGTACGTGACAGTATACTAAAAAACCTACACACTGGTCATCTTGGTATAAGCAAGACACAACTCAGAGCCAGACAAGATGTATACTGGCCTAAACTCAACGATGATATCGAAAAGATGTGTAAATCATGCAACATATGTCAAGCAACAACCAGAACCTTTACTTCAAACAGAGATACCTACTAGACCCTGGAGTATTATTGGTACTGATCTCTTCCAGATAGATAACAAACAATATCTCATCATTTGTGACTTTTTCATAAAGTTCCCAATTATAGAATGCCTTCCATCACTAGCACTCACTGAGGTTATTGCAGATATAACAAGAAAATACTGTAGCATCATGGGAATTCCAGACATCATTCGATCCGACAATGGTCCACATTATGTCGGTAATGCATATCAACACTTCATTCGTACTTGGAACATTCAGCACATCACTTCTTCACCGCACTACGCTAGATCAAACGGATTCATCGAACGACAGATTGAAACCTGCAAACATATCATAAAGAAAGCAGTGTCAGCCAATGAAGACATACAACTAGCTCTCTTACGATGGAGAACAACCCCAAAGGTTAAAGATACCCTCCCATCAAAAATTAACTATAGTTCACCAGCAAACGACACCATTAGATCACGCCTACGATCCACACAAGACTCTCAAAAAGCCTATCACGACTGAAAATGTAAACAGTTACCACCTCTATACACCAGGGATCTTAATCGGCTGTTTTTTGTCGGCTTTAGCTGATTGATCTTTAATCTAGCCGATTGGTAAAACAATGAACCGGCCACTAAGGTATCACAAATCAATCTACTTTCGGCCGATTTACAAAGAATTAATTATCAGGCCGATTGGTAAAACAATGAACCGACCACTATGGTATGGTATCATAAATCAATCTACTTTCGGCCAATTACAAAGAGTTAATTATTACTCGTCGATTAAGAAACCCATCAAAGAGTCAATCATTACAATGAATACCTTCGGCTTATTTCATAAATAAACAACTTAATTGAGGTAATCATGCCAAGTACTTGAACACCTCGCAGATTGACACCAAGAAACGTAAACAAGATTTAACTGAAGATAGTGATGGCGGCGTTGACCTTGAACTTCAAGTATGCACGTCGTCAATGGAAGTTCCAAAAGCCGGTGATCCTCCCACGTCCAATATAGGTCAACCAAATTATCGGCAATAAAAGACCGTATTAATCTGAAGATAATACCTGCGCAGCAAAGAAAGACGATGACAGAACAAAGAGTTTAATTCCCAAATCTATAGAAAGTGTTTCAAACCGGGCTTTAATCCGAAATGCGTATTTAATAGCAAAAAGAAACATTGCCATCGAAAATTATGAACAAAAATTGAGCGATTTGACAGAACTAGTCCTGCTGCATTAAATCCCGACAATTGTATACGGGTAACGCTAACAATTGGCGACGTGACCTTTTGCCCGTACAGCATATTTCTGAGTTCCGACTATACACGGAAACCGATTTGTGCTACTTTGTTATTTATATACTTATATACTTTGTTATTTTTTTTATATATTAACATGTGCTTACGAATAAAATAATTTAAAAACACATTTGTATGTACTTGTAGTTTTTACTAATTTATAACTTCCATTTAGTTGGATGAAACCAAAAGTAGGAATATGCAATGCAAGTTGCTGAAATAATAATATGACTGTAAATTGCGATATTATAGCGATGTATGTATAAAAGTATGCAATTACAAAGATCTTGTTTATACAGAGTTACTGCTATTATTATCCCGAATACATTATGCAATTAGTGAATTATGCAATTACTGTCTTGAATAGATAGAGTATGCATAAACTAACATGTTTGTTGTTGAAAAGACGACTATCCGTTAGGCCTAACTGTGGCCAGTTCATTTCCAAATGGATTAAAAACCCTGCTATACACTCGTCAACATGTTACCACATTAGACTACAACAGTGGACAATAGAAATGTGCAACAGTTGTCGCAAAGTCTCCAGAGCCACACAGTTATATTTTGCAAACAGAAGACGGTCATCAAATCCGTAGGAATAGATCCCATATCCGAGAAGTACCAAACGAACAATCACGTACGAACTCCACATCCTGAGGAAAACATTCCAAACAAACTGTCTCAGCATGTATCCAATCATCGTTCATTTGATCTCCCAGACATTCCAAAACCATCAAACCATGTAAACACACCAGCTAGTGCCCAAAAATGCGTACGGTTTTCAAACCCCATTACAAATTGTGCTACTCACACTAGAACACGTTCTGGACGAGTCGTGAAAGTACCAAATCGTTTTAATTAAACCCTATAGCTTATAATAACGGATCACA